CCTGGCCAAGTAAGAAGCGGGGGGGGGCTAAAACATTTTTGTTTTATATTTACAAAAACATTTAAATAAAAAGTGCCCCCACCCCCAAATTACATACCTACAGAAACACACACACACTGCATTATATACACACACTACACAAACACACTGCATTCATTATATACACACACTACACAAACACACACTCTGCATTCATTATATACACACACACTACACAAACACCCTGCATTCACTATACACACACTACACACACTGCATTAACTTTACACACACTACACACACACATGCATTCACTTTACACACACTGCATTCATTATACACACACTGCATTCACTTTACGCACACACACACTACATTCACTTTACACACACTACATTCACTATACACACACTACACAAACACATACACTCTGCATTCATTATATACACACTACACAAACACTCACTACATTCACTATACACACTACACAAACACACTCTGCATTCATTATATACACACTACACAAATACCCACTGCATCCACTACACACACACACACTACATAAACACACACAGCTCCCCTGTCTAAACACACTGCATCCACTACATATGGCATGTATATTTTGTGCATTTACCTTTAGAAATAGATTTGTTTTTTTTCAAAATGGTAAATGTACAGAATATTGGTAAGTTATCGGCTATCGGCATGAAAGTTCACAGATTATCGGTATCAGCTCTAAAAAAATCAATATTGGTCGATTCCTAATCAGTGCATTGAGTGTGACAGAGTGTGGGTAACTGGTCGGTTATTTAGTGGGTAATTATGTGCATGTGTATTATGTGTTTTTCATAGTCAGTCTTGGGCAATTAGGGAAAAATAGCAGAGTTTGCATTATTTAGGAGGTGGCGTTTATGAATGAAGAGGGCAGTGTATTGGGAGAGGAGGACATCTGTTTTTTTCTTTAGGCATTGCAACGCCCTGGACTACAAGTGCCTTTATGTATATGGCTGAATAGTTGTGTTAGTGACTATTGAGTATGAATATACAAACATCGGCATCGAGTGATCACTTCCTGTCAGTCCGGCTATGTACAGGAAACAGAAGCTCCTTTACTGCGGACTGGACGGAGGCATTTTGTTCCGACTCTCACCACTCTTAGCTGCAATATTTTTTCTCCTTACAGCAACAGTTGAGCATAGTGTCCAGTGCTTCTTCTTCTTCTGCTTAAAATATCCTTGCTTGAAAGTTCTTGAATGAAAACACAGGCAATGACGAACACAAACATAAATAATAACTGTGCCAATCATCATAAGTACCATTTGATTGTGGTGTCTTAACCATATTTTTTCCTATGGCGTTTGGATAAATACCTACACACCTCTCTTCACATCCAGCACACTCCTGATTCACAGATAAACACAATATCACTGCTGTATCTACCAATTTAACCCAAACACTCGCTATTACTGCTGCATTTACCAATTTAATCTAAACACTCGTTATCACTGCTGTATTTAACCAATTTAATCTAAACATTAACCAAAACAATTACATTCCTATTTACCACCCTTCTATTTAAACATGTATAGATAACCCAAAATGCCTACTTTCTCTTATCCCTCTTATCATTCTTCCAGTTTTTTTTTTGGTTTTTTTTTTAACTGCAACCACTCATGCACTTTACACAGACACAAATCAAGCACCTACTGGACAATGGGGTTCCCTCGTTAGAGCCCTCCCACCCCAGTTTGGTTTACACAAAAATACCCCCTGGTCCCTATAGGTCAATTCCCCCCTTTCCCAGGCAAGCATACATACAACAATAATACATAAGGGTTTCAATTGCAATACAATCACTAGAAATAAGAGAATAGTATGCACAAAATCATAGCATAGACATGTTAAATAGACAATAAAATAAAACATTCAATAGCTCATCAAAGGTCAACATTTAAACACTGGTCTCCATCTGATATTCTATCTGTGTTCCAATGTCCACCTCTGGTTTCTGCTACATCTGAAAAGGTTAGGAAACAGATCAGGATTACTTCCTAGTCACTTATAGCGTATACTGCAAATATTTTACTTAGAATATATATATATATATATATATATATATATATATATACACACACACAGACATGTAAACACATTCCTTCAGCTTTTCATTTTATAAACAATTTTTTTCAACAAGATAACTTTCTTAATTTTTTATTTTTTTTACAAGGCTCTTAAAAAACAATAAGCTAATAGCTGCTTTCTGCATCTTCTCTGCAATTCAGGAAACACATTTCTAGCCAACCTAAA